AATATGCATAGACATAAAATGTAAAAACTTAAATATCTTAGAAACAGTAGCCAATCAGGTGTTTTTAATTGTCATATTTGAATTCAGCACATCAAAATACATAACAAATAGCACATTTTTATCTCTGAAGCAGACGACTTCTCAAAAATTGTAGACCAGTGTAATCTGAAATGTGACATCCTGAAAAAAAGCATATATCAGCCCCCCTATTGCTGCCTCCCTGTTTCCCAATGGCTCTTGTCACTGGCACCAAAATTGTTGCAGGTCAACAATGAAGTTCTCAAAAAGAGACGCATGGTATTAAGGCCAACTGAAAAAGCCAGATAGATCTATTATGATAAGCTACTTAGCAGACAGCAATAACCTACCTAGTAGCTGCTAATTAATTCAATTCAATTAATTTAGCATTCAATTTACAATGCTCTCTTCCTCAAAACTACAAAAAAAAAATAGAAAAAAAGCACAGCTGTCAGCACTGTCAACTATGTCACTTGAAAAGTTCCTGTGGTGGGCATCTCTAATGACACAAGCAAGCCTGTTTTTGTCAGCAGCTGCTGAGTCCTGCAACCCTTGGGACCCTGACTGTAGCCATGCTGCGGCTTCCTCTGCCTGATCGGTCCCCACCCTTTGGAGCACTTCCTCTTTGCTTTCAAAAATGTTGTGCACCATAGAGCAGGCTGAAACAATGCAGAAGGTACAGTCAATAACATTGTTTCTCTGCAGAAGGCCCCTCCATCTTACCTTCGTCCTTGCAAAGGCACATTCAACCATCATTCTGCTCTTGCTGAAGTAGGAGTGAAAACAATAATCAGAAGTGGAAGCATATGCCCCTGTTGACATAACCAGGGTACAATGTCGTAAACCAGGGGAACAATAGTGTGAGACCCTGCTAACCTATCTCAAACGAATGTAGGAATTGCCAGACCAGAGTGGATCAGTAGGTCCCATCTAGCCTGTCTCGGATGGTGATCTGTACCAGATGGTTTCTGAAGAAGGTGTAAGAAAACCTATAGTGGACATCTGTGGAATAAGCCGCTCATTGGGGAAGTTTCTTCCTAACCCATTGGTCAGTGGTTGGCTTATGTCCAGAAGCAGAAGAGTTATACCCCTTATAAACTGAGTTGATCAAACCTAATGTTCTCTTCCATGTCAGTGTCTAATCCTTGGTTGCGTGGTAAGTACAAACTATTATTACTCTTAATGGAAAGTGTAGTTCCTTGCCCTATCAAGAAACACCAATATGTTTGTATCTGATTTCCACATACTACATATTTCCTAACCAATTCAGCCCAATTCTGAGCTATAATGTTAATCAAGTAAAATATTTGAGTGGAAAAACAGAAGAAAAACAGATGAGGAACACTGTAAAGTTTGTGTTAAACTCTGTCCTAGTGAAAACTCCAGATAAAGAATATATAAATGCCAATGACCGGGAGGAGGCACAGGAAAAAGGGGCTGGACAAGGTATTAGTAAACAATCAGTTCCTATAATGAACTCTCACACCTGGCCCCACAGGAAGAGGTTTTTCTGGCCCAGATCGTATTCTCCCTGAGACATTTGTACATGTCTAGTCCCAGTGTTTGTTTCTGAAGTATTGCATTATACAGCCTGTGATTAAACAGGTATTGATTTTTCCAGGTTTTACAAGTAAAACGTTAACTATGCAACCACAAAGGCAAGGACGGACCACGGGGAAAGAGGGGAAATGGAATGAAGGAGACAACGAGAGTCAGGAAGGGGGACGGAGACAAATGAAACAAATAGCAGGCATATTCATGGTGGTCTTAGTTCTGAACTGGACATATCATAATAATGATACCTTACATTTACAGTGCGCCTTTTATTCCTGTATAGTTTTATACATACAGCATCACTGAAATACAGTCAGCTCTTCATAGAATTGTAGAATCATAGAACTGGAAGGGACCTCGAGAGGTCATCTAGTCCAGTCCCCTGCACTCAAAGCAAGTGTTATCTAGAACATCCCTGACAGGTGTTTGTCCAACCTGCTCTTAAAAATCCCCAATGACAGAGATTCCACCACCTCCCTAGGCAATTTATTCCAGTGCTTAACCACTCTGACAGTTAGGAAGTTTTTTTCCTAATGTCCAACCTAAACTGCCATTGCTGCAATTTAAGCCCATTGCTTCTTGTCCTATCCTCAGAGGTTAAGAAGAACAATTTTTCTCCCTCCTCCTTGTAACAACCTTTTATGTACTTGAAAACTGTTATCATGTCCCCTCTCAGTCTTCTCTTCTCCAGACTAAACAAACCCAATTTTTTCAATCTTCTCTCATAGGTCATGTTTTCTAGATCTTTAATCATTTTTGTTGCTCTTCTCTGGAATTTCTCCAATTTGTCCACATCTTTCCTGAAATGTGGCACCCAGAACTGGGCACAATACTCCACTTGAGGCCTAATCAGTGTGGAGTAGAGCAGAAGAATTACTTCTTGTGTCTTGCTTACAATACTCCTGCTAATACATCCCAGAATGTTGTTTGCTTTTTTTGCAACAATGTTACACTGTTGACTCATATTTAGTTTGTGATCTACTATGACTCCCAGATCCCTTTCCACAGTACTCTTTCCTAGGCAGTCATTTCCCATTTTGTATGTCTGCAACTGATTGTTCCTTCCTAAGTAGAGTACTTTGCCTTTGTCCTTATGGAATTTCATCCTATTTACTTCAGACCATTTCTCCAGTTTGTCTAGATCATTTTAAATTTTAATCCTGTCCTCCAAAGCACTTGCAACCCTCCCAGCTTGGTATGATCCGCAAACTTTATAAGTGTACTCTCTATGCCATTATCTAAATCATTGATGAAGATATTGAACAGAACCATACCCAGAACAGATCCTTGTGGGACCCCACTCGTTATGCCCTTCCAGCATGACCGTGAACCACTGATAACTACTCTCTGGGAATGATTTTCCAACCAGTTATGCACCCACCTTATAGTAGCTCCATCTAGGTTGTATTTCCCTAGGTTTTTTTTTATGAGAAGGTCATGTGAAACATTATCAGAGGGGTAGCCATGTTAGTATGAATCTGTAAAAAGCAACAGATGCAACATTGTGTCTGATGAAGTGGGCATTCACCCACGAAAGCTTATGCTCCAATACTTCTGTTAGTCTTAAAGGTGCCACAGGACCCTCTGTTGCTTTTTTCATGTGAAACAGTAATCAAAAGACCTTACTAAAGTCAAGATATACCACATCTACTGCTGGCCCCCTACCCACAAGGCTTGTTACCCTGTCAAAGAAAGCTTATCAGGTTGGTTTGACACAATTTGTTCTTGACAAATCCATGCTGACTGTTATTTATCACCTTATTATCTTCTAGGTGTTTGCAAATTGATTGCTTAATTATTTGCTCCATTATCTTTCCGGGTACAGAAGTTAAGCTGACTGGTCTGTAATTCCCTGGCTTGTCCTTATTTCCCTTTTTATAGATAGGCACTATATTTGCCCTTTTCCAGTCTTCTGGAATGTCTCCCGTCTTCCATGACTTTTCAAAGATAATTGCTAATGGCTCAAATATCTCCTCAGTCAGCTCCTTGATTATTCTAGGATGCATTTCATCAGGCTCTGGTGATTTGAAGACATCTAACTTGTCTAAATTTCCCTATTTTAGACTCTGATCCTACCTCATTTTCACGAGTATTCACTGTTTTAGACATCCAATCACCACTAACCTTCTTGGTGAAAACCAAAACAAACAAGTCATTAAGCACCTCTGGGGGAAGAGGGATAGCCCTGTGGCCAGCCAGAGACCAACACTAAAGTGAAAGAACATTTTAGTTAAGGACACCGGAGTAAAATGCTGCTCATATAGTAAGTGCCATGTGATTAAAGTCTATGGAGAAGGGAGAGCGGATGGACCTTGGATTTTAAGATCTTGACCAAAATACACCCTTCACCCTATTATGTGTAGACAGTAAAGAAAGAACACATGTAAAGAACATGATTAGTCTGACTCAGATGGAAGAAAGGCTAAGATGACCGGATTTGGATGTGTGAGTCTAGCAAGACTAGGAGTAAAACTTTCAAAAAGCATTGAAATGACTCAGGGGCCCTAAGTGACTTAAATCCCTAGGAATCTAACTCCCATTGCTTTTGTGATACATAGGCTCCTAAGTGCCTAAGTCACCTAGGTACTTTTGAAAAATTTACTCTCTCTTTGCTTCAGGCTTATCTCTAAACTTCCCCTACTTCTGTCTGAAGAAATACAGTACGATGCACAGGCCTTCAGTCTAAGCTGGTGATTTAATGATACCAACAAGACTTTAAATGTCAGAAAACTATACACTGAGACCTCCATAGATTTGTTTTATGGGGAGACAGGAGGTGGCCCCTGAGTAGGAGCTATAACCTTTAAACACACACTTTAAACTCTGCCTACTGCCCCAACGCTGCTCCAAGGGAAGTAGGAGCAGGGACAGGGGCAGGACTGGGTGACTGCAGCAGCAGCATCGAGTTGGTTGATTTAGTTGGTGTTGGTCCTGCTCTGAGCAGGGGGTTGGACTAGATGCCCTCCTGAGGTCCCTTCCAACCCTGAGATTCTATGGTCTGCAACAACAGGCTAAGGAGAGAGGCGGGCTCTGCTGAGCCCCAGATTCCCATCGGTTTCGCTATGGGCAGAGGAGCCAGCCACATCTCACAACAACACCCGCCCCTTCTGCCCAGGCGGCCGCACTGGGCAGAAGGGATCGGGCAGCAGCACCAGCCACACGCCTCAGCTCCCAGCCAGGGAGAGGAGAAACCACTAGCAGCAGCGTGGCACATGCGCTGGCAGTGCACCGTGGGAGCTGTAGTTTATCATCCCTTGCTCACCCCCGCTTCCCGGTACGGCGCAGCCGGGGCGGCCAAGGGGAACTACGGCTCCCAGGGTGCAGAGCGACCCGCTTTTCTCCTCCCCCCCCCGCCCCGTATGAATGACTAATACAACATGTTGTCCGGCGGCTAACGTGCCCCTCGGAGCCGGAGAGCGCCGCTCGCCTTTGCTTCTCCTTCTCCTCGCGGCGGTGTCTGAGCAGCCGCGATCCTGCCTTCCAGGGCACTCACACGCGAGCGGGGCCCGCAAAGTAAGTCAGTGGGGGCGGGGGCTTAATTCTCCATCCCGGCTCGTCCGGGCTAAATGCACCGAGGCGGGAGCTGCCTGGCTGTTCCTCGCAGGCGGCAGCAGCATGTTGTTGCCATGTTGCAGCTGTGCGGCGGGCTCAGGCACAGTTTGGGGAGTCCGAGGTCCATGCGGCAGCTACACTGTGCCTGCCTGCGACAATGTGTCCAAGAATCCGGAGCGGGGTGGGGGATGTCACATTGTTCCTCCTGCTTCACGTATTCCAGGCTCTTTACAGAGATTTTACCAGGAGGGAAGTTTAATATTAAGATCCAGGATATCCGCCTTTGCGCCCCCCCCCTTTCCCCCTGTCTCCACGAAACATGTTTCACTCGAAAATATCTGCTCTCTTAGTGATTCTCCACCCTGAAGTGGGGTTCTTCTTTGGGCGAAGGGAGGAGTGCGTGTGAAGGAAGAGTTCAGAAAATGTCATAGTTGCCGAGCTTTTGTTTGATCAGGAAGTTGGTAGCATATGGGGTGGGGGACTGAGAAAATTCATACCGTGGAACTTTTGTAATCTTTCCAGGGGCCTTGTGACACGACAGAAACTGACCACACCATAATATTTAACGTATGTGTCACAAAGTACTTGTGTGAGGTAAAAGCTTTTTCTAATCACTTCCTGCTCTGCCCTCCTTCAACTCTTCATTCCTTTCCCAGGTGCTGGGGGTGGCTCACGTTGCTCATGGCAGTCAGGTAATTAGGAACAGGGCACTTTTAAACCTATAATTATTAGAAAGTTTTATGCAAGGTACTATTTACACGCATGAACAGTTCTTTCCATGGGAGAAGTCACTTCACAAGCAGAATTCTTTGGCGTTATTTTCTTAGTCAGCAAAGTTCTGGAGCTTTGTGGAGAGTTATCTTTTTAACAAACTTCAAAAGAAAATCAGAAGCAGTCATGAAGGGGCAAAAGTGCATCGACTTAAACCAAAGGTTGCAAATTGTTATATCTATTGCTGAATAACTTCAAACAACTTTCAGGGTTCCCCCTCCCCACCTCATTATGTAGTGGAGAAAATATAATTGAAAATCAATATTAGGTTTAAATAAGCTGTAAGCCTTAAGTTCTGCGTGAGGATGTAGAAGATGATAAAGATACAATTATTGGCGAGTGTGAATAACCAGATAGAGTGGCTGTCAGATTTGCTGTCAGCAAAGCAATGTAAGTGAAGTAGCATGTTCTCATGGACTGAACACATGGCTGGGAGGTAGGAACTCTAACCCAGGATATGCCACTGCCTTGCTAGATGGCCTTATGCAAGTTGCTTTAAACTATCTGTGCTTCCGTTCCCACTTTTGTAAAACGGAGATAAGGATATTCAGCTCAGAGCAGGACTTTAAACATTAAAGGAGATATATAAAGGAGAGAAAAAAAGCCATTTTCCCCACCACCTGTCCCCTGAGCTGCATTCAGAGCCAAAGCAGCATGAAGCATTTAAAAAGGCTTTCTTTGTACATCATAGCTTTGTAGTTTCCAAGGCCAGATGGGACCACTGTTGTCCTCTAGTCTGATTGCCTATACAACACAGGTCAGTGGCCATAGAACTTCCTCAGCATAATTCATAGAGCAAGAGTGGGCATAAACCCAATTTAGAGTAAAAAATCCATCTTTAAGACAGTGGTCCTGCAAATGGTTGCACAAATCCTTGTACAAATTCTCGTTGGCTTCAGTAGGTCTGCATCCTGATGCATGAGTCTGTATTAACAAGCAGTATGGCATGATCAGGATCATGGTGGTTGTGTGGTGATTTGAAAACAGAAGGTGCTAAGAGCTTTTTACACTTCTGTGATTTTTGTTTGTTTTTGTTTTACTTCAGTCTTAAAAAACCAACAACAGCCACTTTCCCTCCCCTCACATTTTTGTCTTCATACCAGGGCCGGCTCCAGCATTTCTGCCGCCCCAAGCAAAAAAAAAAAAAAAAAGACCATGATCGGCGGTGGCAGTTCAGGAGCAGGTCCTTCGCTCCTAGAGGGAGTGAAGGACCTGCTGCCCCCGAATTGCCACAGGTGCCGCCCCTCTCCCTTGGCCACCCCAAGCACCTGCTTGTTAATCTGGTGCCTGGAGCCGGCCCTGCTTCATACTCCAGTTTTCTTGTCAGATATTAGTATTGTGCCATAACTTACAGTAAACTCCTGTAAAATAAAGTGCTTGAATTAAGCTCTAAAAGTAGTCGTGGTTCACACAGACCTTGGTAGCAAATTTTTGGCCCCAAACCTGCCAGCATTTCAGCACATGCTGAACTTTACACTTGGGACTACTCCTGTGTGTTGCTGTTTGCAGGATTGGGGTATTTATTTTTAACCAGTTTCCAGGGAAAGTGTTTGACTTTTGGATGTTTTTGTTTATTGTTTTTATAAGGGTTTACCTGTTTGAGAGACTTTCATTTTGTATTTACTGAAGTAGAAAACAACTTGACAACTGCTAACTGTTGCTTCTGGAGGAAAAATGCCCAAGAGATTAAACTTTGCAAAGTGACACTGTACCTGTGCATGCATGGCACTGTCAGTAGTTTTCCCCAAGAATTATCAAATTTAACTATATGCCTGGAGAATGTTCATTTTGCATTGGTGTTTTGAGTAAATAAGATGGATTCTGTTCCTTTTAATGAACCTAAAATAACAAAACAAACGCACAAAATAAAAGAAATTTTCTTCTAGGACTTTCAGTCCCGCATTTTCAACAAACATTAAACTTACAGGGAAAAATACATTTACATAATATTATCTCTAGATATTTAAATTGCTTGATTATAGTGGGTTGATTGGGTTTCTTGGTCAAAAAATGGTTATAGAATTCATTGTCTTATCCTTTTTCTGTTTGTGGATTAAGCAGACTCTATCGTGTTTCAGCAATTTGATTTTTCTAGGTTTTGAGTTGTGATTGGGGGAGGGGAAGAGCTACCTGTATAGGGTGACCAGACAGCAAGTGTGAAAAATTGGGACGGAGGTGGGGGATAATAGAGCCTATATAAGAAAAAGACCCAAAAATCGGGACTGTCCCTGTAAAATCGGGACATCTGGTCACTCTATACCTGTAACATCAGCATCTGTAACCCTAGCATCCCAGTGTTCTAACTGTATACTCATGTCTTGTTTAATTCAGTGATGACAGTGTTAAATCGATTTTTTTTTGGGGGGGGGGGAGTGTATTCTTACTACTACATGCTGAAAAATTATAAGTCAGGCACAGATCTTACGCCTTTCTTGCTTTTTGGGAAAGGGAGGTGAGTGTGGAGGGGAACCACTTGGAATAGGAATAAAATGTAAAATGTCTTTGGGCGGGGGAGGAGGATGATTACAATTTTTTTTGTTAAATACGGAGATGTAGTCTGCCTTATGCATCAAATGTCAGTGTTCTTTCTTGAGCAATAATATTGAAGCAGGTGGGCAGACTTGTAGGAAAGAGATCTTTATTGAGTATATTGAGTGGACAGATCCAAAATTTCAGGGGATGTCGAGATCCAGTGTTCTGGTCTGGGTCTATCTCTAACAGTAAGATAAACGGAAGCTGGGGGGAGAGGTAGATACGCTGGAGCAAGGGTGGGCAAACTTTTTGGCCCGAGGGCCACATCTGGGTATGGAAATTGTATGGCAGGCCATGAACATGAATGCTCACAAAATTGGGGGTTGGGCTGCGGGAGGGCTCCAGCTGGGAGTGTGGGCTCTGGGGTGGTGCTAGGGATGAGGGATTGGGGGTGCAGGAGGGTGCTCTGGGCTGGGACTGAGGGGTTCGGAGGACAGGAGGGGGATCAGGGCAGGGGTTTGGGGCACAGGAGGGAGTCAGGATGACAGGATCCGGGTGGTGCTTACCTCAAGCAGCTCCCAGAAACAGCAGCATGTCCCCCTTCTGGCTCCTACGTGGAGGCATGGCCAGGCAGCTCTGTGCGCTGCCCTGTCCACAGGTGCTGCCCCTGCAGCTCCCATTGGCCAGGAACTGCAGCCAATGGGAGCGGTGGGGGCAGCGTGCGGAGCCCCCTGGCTGCCCCTACACATAGGAGCTGGAGGGGGGGATGTGCCACTGCTTCCGGGACCCATGCGGAGTGGAGCAAGCAGGGCAAGCCCCAGACCCCACTTCCCGGCGGGAGCTCAAGGTCAGATTAAAACGTCTGGAGGGCCGGATGTGTCCCCCGGGCTGTAGTTTGCCCACCTCTGCGCTGGAGGGTAGGGATAGGGTCCAGAGAGACCTAGACAAATTGGAGGATTGGACTAAAAGAAATCTAATGAGGTTCAACAAGGGCAAGTGCAGAGTCCTGCCCTTAGGATGGAAGAATCCCATGCACTGCTACAGGCTGGTGACCGACTGGCTAAGAGGCAGTTCTGCAGAAAAGGACCTGGGGATTACAGTGGATGAGAAGCTGGATATGAGTCTACAGTGTGCCCTTGTTGCCAAGAAGGCTAACGACATATTGGGCTGCATTAGTAGGAGCAATGCCAACAGATTGAGGGGAAGTGATTATTCTTCTCTATTTGGCACTGGTGAGGCCACATCTGGGGTATTGCGTTCAGTTTTGGTGCCCCCACTACAGAAAGGATGTGGACAGGTTGGAGAGAGTCCAGCAGAGGGCAACGAAAATTATTAGGGGGCTGGGGCACATGATTTACGAGGAGAGGCTGAGGGAACTGGGCTTGTTTAGTCTGTAGAAGAGAAGAGTGCGGCGGGATTTGATAGCAGCCTTCAACTACCTGAAGCGGGGTTCCAAAGAGGATGGAGTGAGGCTGTTCTCAATGGTGGCAGATGATAGAACAAGGAGCAATGTTCTCAAGTTGCAGTGTGGGAGGTCTAGGTTGGATATTAGGAAAAATTTCACTAGGAGAGTGGTGAGGCACTAGAATGGGTTACCTAGGGAGATGGTGGAATCTCCATCCTTAGAGGTTTTTAAGGCCTGGCTTGACCAATCCCTGGCTGGGATGATTTAGTAGGGTTGGCCCTGCTTTGAGCAGGGGGTTGGACTAGATGACCTC